TTGTTTTCTTTGTTCCGTCTTTGTATTCCACGCCGTATTGCTCCTCGTAGTCATCTTTTCCTCCTCCCTCAAATTCACGGCCAAACACCCCTTTGGATGCCGCCGGCCACCATCCACCACCTCATCCCAATTGAAATCCTTGCCTAATTTGGGTGGACATATTGTGGGCTGATTTCAAATTCAAACTCATGTATTTTGAAATTCAAAATCTTTCCTAATTTATCAATTTATTTTAGGAAAGTCTTTAAAATTCAATCAATTCAATTTATGATTGATTGGGATTTTATCCTAATTTACAACTCCCAAATTAACAAGCAATAAATAATTGAGTCAATCCCCCACAACCTCATTACTGCTGCCGTCCATCACTCTTGGGCTTGGATTAGGAAACTCTTCCTAATTCTGAGAACTTTGATTGACCGAAAATTCCAAAGCCTAAAGCCATTCATAACTTTCCAAAACTGAGAGTGAAGTTAAGAGTTAATTCTCTAATTTAACTTTTCAATCACGTAACTCCCTCCTGGCTGTAATTCCCTCCCCCCAAATCTTTCCACTCCCAAATCAATTCTCTAATTCTGGAAATAGAAAATCATCAGATTTTCTATTTTTCCCACCGTCTCCTGCTGAAATTTTTCTCAGGTTTTGAATATGAAAACCTGTAGAAAATCCTTGCTTGGAAACAATTCAGAATTTCCCTTAATCTTAGCCTAGCCGAGATTTCCTTTCACCCCTTGGCTCTAATTTATTTCCTAAATCTCGATAGTGGATTTAGGAAATAAGAGCCCAATCCACCTCCTTATCCCGCCGGCTCCTTTCTCCCTATTGCTGGGTTGTTGAAAATTCTCCACAAGTGCAGCCCATCACGTTGGAAAGATTGTCCAACCCTATTAGGAAATACTCCCTAATTTCATCCCTGCTTGTATTCAGCTCTAATTGAATTCTCCCAAAATCAGTCCACGGGATATTGTCTTTTCTCTGCTGCTGGATTGCTCAAGTTCTACATCAGTTTTCTCTATAAATTAATTCCAACATCTGGCCACAATCAGCCGCCTCCTCCTTAATGGTGTTGCTTGGTATTTACTCAGTTTTATTTCCTAGTTTATAGCCCAAATCAGTTCACTGATTTTGGGATTTGAAATCCATCATATCCCTGTCATCCAACCATTCCCTTCCTCTCCAAATTGTTGCTTGGTTTTGAATAAAAACCTGAAGAATATTTCCATATTTTGTGAGACATTTGGAGTTTGTCCATCTTCCATAGCAAAGCCCTTTTCCGTTCTACATCAGTTTGGTATCAGAGCATGGACTCGGATCGACTGGGAAAGACTCTAGACTGGATGGTAGGTCAAGTGGGCGTCATTAGTCAACATCTCAAGGAAACTCAAGCGGACTTAGCCGACCTCCACCGTCAAACAATCAAACGGTTCAATAACCTAGAGCGAGGTAGGACTGACCCATCACTTTACACCTCTTCAAGATCCCCCTTCATCAAAGGATAGGAAAAAGGCACTAAGAAACAGCGAAAGAGTGGACAGAGTTGACAAATGGCTGGAGGCCAATGAAGCTTTCTATTTCCCACTTACGGTGCAAATCAAAGAAAAACATAAGGTGATCAAGGAAGAACATGAAGAAGAAGATGAATTGGTCGACAAGGAAAAATGCGTGACAGCAAATCATGCAGAGAGAGACTTGGTTGGTTCAATTACAACTCCGACAGAAGCAAAGGTTTCTCCTGACCCAGTGAACACTCCTATAACAAAGAAGGTTGAGGAAGCTCTGGAAGTGATATCCTTAGAACTCCATATTGCTCCTATCGCCAGTGAAGCCATCGATGAGAGTGAACGAGTTTCTGCAGGCGAAAAGAAGTGCGACACTTTGGAAGGTGATCCCTTGACTCTGGTTAAGGAAATTGGCGAGCTAAAGTGCCAATTGGGTTTATTACCCATTTTGGAGGAAGAAACTATGTCTCCAAAGAACCATCCAAAGTTGTACCTGGGCAGTTGTTATGCTAACTCGACGGAGTCGAGTATTCTCCCACCTGGGGAG